GCCTCCCATCACGCTGTCATGTATGTGCACGGCACCACCCCGGATCGAGTGCGCCGCATGTGCCATGAGAACATGATCCGACCCGCTGCTTGGAGGCCCGAGAACCATGACTACCCGAGCTTTGGATGCTACGCTCAGGCCACCCCCACGGCATGCACGCCCGACACGCTCGGCCAGCTCTTGCAGAACTTTACAATCGGAAAGTCTCAACTCGGCGCCATCGCTTTTGGGGAACTACGCTCCATCAATCAGCACAAAATCCTCGAATCCGGGGGCAGCCACGAGGATCAACATAACGTGCGGCGCCACTTCGCATGCCGCCGAGGCAAAAAGTGGTGCCTTCACTCCAAGTTTGCGATGCTGAGAGGCATCGCGCTGCAGCGCCCGGCTTAGCGGGGCGCAAGTGTACCATCTTCCACCCAACCAGGAAAAGAATTGGTGCACTGTTTGATCGCCTTTTTTCTTTGCTTTGCTGTTCTGCCTTTCCGCGACCGTTCTCTCGCCTTGTGACCTTACCCGCTTGATTCCGCTCACCAGCTTTTGGTTCGAACATTTCCTTTTCCCCCGTGTTTTCTCATGGCTTTCCAACCCCCTCGAGGTTTGGTTCCGGTGCTCCAAAGGCAAAACTTACCACCGCAGCCTTCGCCCACGGCATCCCATCATCATGGCATCGTGTACGGCAACAACATGGCCGGAAACCCGTGCGGGGCCCTGTCCGGGCCTTCCTACGGATGCTCTTCCACGACATGGACACCGCCAACTACACATCCGACTCCCTGTCAGACCTACGGCCAACCTATTCCCCATTACCCACCACACCCCGGCCCTCGTCCACCCTCCTTTGGCGGCTCTCTCCCCCCCCCTCCCGGCGGCAACCCCTTTCCCCCCCCTCCCCCCGGCCCCTTCACCCGCCCTCCACCTTTCCCCTCCCCCTCCACCGCCTCGCAATCCAAACCTCCCCCGGCCCTTCGACCCGTCCACTCAGTCCCAACACCAACCGAGTTCAACCCTGGCGACGATCACTACGACACCACCCGCGTCGCGGGGTACGACCTGCCCAAGGTCATAACGCACACCGCGTTTACTCGGCAAATGGGCATCGAGGGACAAGACATCGCTCGCGTCCCCCTCCTCCACTTCATGCACGAACAGTGGAACAGTTGGTGGTTGCGTCACCTCGCCCACGGAGGCGAAGTCCGCATCGTTGTCGCAAAGTCGATGCCGGAATCAGTGTTTGCTGCTGAACTACTCAGCCAAATCCGACAACGGCACCTCGACCTGGACGCCCTCGCCCTCCATGTAGCCACGCAGGAGGGCGCCTCGACCACCAAACCAGCAGCCATGAAGCTACTCACCAGCAAGATCTTCGACTTCCTCATCTCCCTCCGACCCACCACTACGGCCGATCCGGCCTCCGCGGCCACCATACTCCAGCTTCAGCAACAGCTTGCTGACGCACACAACCAACTCGCCCAGCAGGCTTCATCCCCCCCCCTCCCCCCCACACCCACCTCATCCAACAAACGCCCAGCCAATCCATCTCAGGCCTCCCTCCTGGACTTCGGCATGAAGCGACCACGGTTGACTACACCTGACACATCACCGCAGGACGGATCCCCCGCTCTACCCCTGCCCACTCGCATTGCAGACGACTCCCAACCCCCCCCGGCTCCCCCCACCCACGGCGGCAACCCTCCAGCCCCCTCCACCCACGGCGGCACCCCGACCCCTCCCCCCCTCCCCTCCCCACCCACTTGGAAGGAGCCCCGCGACTTGCTCCAACCACCTCCCCACGTTTGCCAATGGCTCACCAGCAACTTCCCACCCGACATTTCCGACACCAAAGTCCAGCGATGGATCACCTCTCAGAAAACCAGCAAAGAGAGCAAGCAAGTCCTAAAAAGCTGGTCCAACGACTGCGCAAAATGGGCAACCACACTGGACTCCGACACCAGAGCCCAACTCGAACGAGCCGCTGTGCTATGGGGCATCCCGGTGCGAACCCTATCAAAACTGGGGTCATCGGCCTTGGGCCGCATCCTGGCCGCTGCGAGTCACTTCTACCAGTGACTCTCAACAGCACACCGACAACGACGCACAGCCAGGCAGCACAAATTTTGGCAACACCACTGCTGCCAACTTCTCACTGTCCTCCGTTTCACTCTTCGGTTCTTCCCAACCGATGACGTCACCGCACGTCATTCTTGCTCCTGGCTACTCGCACAGCTTCAGCTACTTGACGTCTGCCATCTCTCCTGTGGTTCCGGCAGACTGAAAGCCCTGCTTACTCGACTTGGCCTGGACAACCCTGCTTCCGATTTCTCTTCTCAGCTTGTCCCTTCAGCGGTTTATCTGAGATTCACCAGCCATCCAAAGTGGCAGACCTTTTTCTACCTCGGAGCCACTCGCACCTCCCTCATGGCACGGGACCACAGCCAACTTCGCAAACTACTCCAAGTTCAGCGACATCATCTGGTCAATGCCGAACTGGCAGTCCGGTGGTGGGCACATTTTGACATTTTCCACCACTACACCTCGGTGCCCATTCACACTGTCGTTCCAGCAACGGACCTATTTGCCACTGAACAGTTCTACATCCAGGAACTGCAACCGTCTCTCAATTTTGGCTTCATCGAGAAACATTTCCGGCCACGCACGGGCTTCATACGCCAATTGGACTTCTCCCAATCCCGGCACATGGGCTTCGCCACCATCTGGCGAAAACGCCGCCGACTACGACTACCCATCGCCCTACAACAGGCCTTCCTGGCCAAGCGCGTGGACAACCGCCTGGATTTGTGGCGATTTTTGGGCGATCTTGGCAGCAACACTCTACGACGATTTGATGCCATCCGTTACATACGGAGCAGAGACTTCCCACCCGCCGCTCTCTATGTCCTTCATCGCATAGCCACACACCTGCCTGAACCACACCACCAGGCATGCCTTTCCGCCATTCGATCCAGTTTACGATTCCGGGGCCTCATTCCACCTGGCCCCTCCAGACCGATGCTTGCACCCTTCCTCGCCTGGCGACTACTGCTAACCTGGTACCGACAACGACAACCACACTCCTCTACCACACACCTCACAGTGGACACACTTGACACCTCTGCCATCACCCGCGTCTACAACGGACGCCGTCGCCGACACAAACCCACACAACGCACCCTGTGGCTCGACGACATCCCCGAGATCATTCAGGCCACCCTTGACATGCAGATCTTCTCTGTCGGCCTTCGTTCATTCAGGCAAACACGTGGGGCACCGATGGGATCCCCCGCGTCCCCAGCTCTCTGTTTGATGGTGATCGCGGTCGCCGAACAATGTTGGACCAACACTCACATCACATCGGGACTTCGCTCCGTTGAAGATACTCTCCTGCTCCGCTACGTGGACAACAGACTCGTGATCGCAACCCCCAGGTGGCTCTCGACTCCGGCAGCCAACATACTGTGCGACGAACACTTCTATGGAGGAGACATCTTCCTGGAAACAGAAGCCGCCCTGGACTTCTTGGGGTTCCGACTGAACCTCACAAGCAGCACCATCTCCTTCATTCCCTCGCATGAGAAGCACAACATGCTCTCCGTCAAGTCAGCCGCACCAATGATACATAAGGAATCTGGATATTATTCCAGACGCACGCTGATCAGCCGAGTTTCCTTTCCTGAATTTCAGCGAGATCAGGATCTTGCAATGTTGAAGAGGTTGTACCTCCAACACGGTTTCACCTTACAAAGAGAAGAAAAACCGTCCTTTGCGAAACCACACTGGTTTTCTTCTCTGCCTTTGCATCCTGACAGATTTGACCTGATTTTCGCGCCGCAGCTGTTTGACTGTTTGACCAAAATCCGTTGCGAGCATGGATACCAACACAGCACGCCAGCTGCTCCAAGACTTCGAACTCATCCTTGGCATTGCCCAACAAGGCATCGCCACCATCCGCGAGTTCACTGAGAGTCCGACTGCCGAACCTGATTTGGCACCGGAGGCCACGCTCAACCCCGCCATTGAGGACCTGACCAACTCACCACCAACACCCCTCCTGGCCCCCCTCGAGGACCTCTTTGAGCCACCTCCTGATGCTCCAGATGAACACCTTCCCACTGATCATGACGAACAATTCCCTGATCATTGGGCTCCGCCCACCCCTCCTCCGTCTTCTCCCGGCGAAAAACGAGCTCGCCGCGCACGTGATTTGGCCTCCTCACGATCTACGGCATCCAAAACCTGCTCGTGGACCAAGCGAAGCTACCACATCGACCAGGACTGATGCCTCTACTGAGGCCGAACCTGAAGCCTCGCAGCCTTGGACTGAGGGAGAGATTGAACTCCTCCGTTCCCTTAAGACCAATTCCAAAGCCAAGTATGTGTGGTCAGTCATCGCCACAAGACTTTCTCGCACAATTGATGCTTGCAAGACTCAATGGGCCTTGCACAAGTGATGTCGCCCCAGTTGGGGCTCCGTGTGTGTGAAGCGTCCTGGAGCACGGACGGAAATTCCACATTGCAGGGGGACCAGGCGTCTTGCTGCTGACCTGGTCTAACAAAGCTAGGCAGCAAGACGGGATACCGGAATTGGCCATTCCGGCGTACCTGCCATCCTTTCGTGACCTAATGTGTTTCCTCGGTTTACCACTGTTTGCTTCATGTTCGGTTTCGATGATGTGACATTTGCACTGCAGATTGATTTTTTCATGCCCTTTCAGTACAATCGCGTGTCTGCAAGAGCAGCCTCTCGAGATAAGTGTGTGTGTGTGTGTGTGTGTGTGTGTGTGTGTGTGTGTGTGTGTGTGTGTGTGTGTGTGTGTGTGTGTGTGTGTGTGTGTGTGTGTGTGTGTGTGTGTGTGTGTGTGTGTGTGTGTGTGTGTGTGTGTGTGTGTGTGTGTGTGTGTGTGTGTGTGTGTGTGTGTGTGTGTGTGTGTGTGTGTGTGTGGTGTGTGTGTGTGTGCGCGTCAAAATCAACCCCTTCATGGGATTCCTTGCAGCCACGAGGCTGGCTCCAGCAATGCTTCGCCGATGTCGCCGAAGCCCTGCGAAGTGAACGAGCTTCGGCAACAATCGCCACGGATTCCAGGAGGCCGCAAGGTTGTTCTAGGCGCAGCCTCCCCAAAAAATGCGATTCTTCTTTACACCTAAACATGTGTTTCCAGCTTCTTGGGATCACTGTTCTTGCCCAACGCTGTCCCTCAATCAACTTCACAGCAAGTACGCACGTGATACCAAGCTCGAACTAATGACAAAGTACCTCTTTAGATTAGGTCGGATAAGCTGGCTTAACTGACTGTGCCATGGCATCAACATCCCCAGCACACACCTGCATGCCGATCGCAAGCGAGCTGGAGCCCGAACATTTTGGGGGGCGTTTTCCACAAGCCACCAAGCCACCAAGCCACATCCAACCACACTCCATCAGGAATCATAGAACCCCAAGGCAAGGCTATGGGGAGGGGGGCTATCCCTTATTAAGCCCTTAATAAGGCCGTATTAAGCCCGGGCCTTAAAAAGGCCTTATGAAGCCCTTATCCTTGGGTTGTCCTGGGCTTCTCCTGGGATAGCCCGCCCCCCCATAGCCCCCCCCAAAGATTCCACGAAAGAAAAAACCAACCAAAAACGACCCCATGGGATCGCCTCGGCGGGTAGAAGCCTCTCTGGCTTCTGCCCCATCTTGGCGAGGAACACCCCACCGGCCTGGCGCCAAAGCGCGCGAGTTCGCGACGCGCGCCAGGGCGTCCGAGGCCGAGACTCCGCTTGCGCCAGGGGACCAGAGATCTGCCGCCCACCGAAATTTTGGGGAACAAAGCCCAGTCAGACAATGCCATGCCATGGATTTGCGGAATATTGCAAATAGGGGGAACAAGGGCCGTCTTGTTGTAATGGTTTGCTTGCTAGGGAAGCCACCGCAAGGGTCGAGTCATGTTGGGCAACTGGCCAATATCGAACAGCACAGCCTGACAGTCTGGTATTGGTGGTACATAGGCTCCTCCAACACCCAGCAAATGGCGTTGATCGGAAACGCCAACCTGTTCTCGCAAGGGCAAGACACCCTAGAAAATGATTCAACCCACCAAAAAATACCCTTGTTCCCACCCTTATCGGGCATCTCGCGGTTGATTTTCCACCACCATGCCATTTCATGCTATGCTCCCACCAAAGCGCATGGACGTGCAGAACCAAAATTGGGTTCCTTGGAAGGGGCCCAGGTCGCTGCGCCGCATGAGTCCACACACCGCACGTCTTACCATGAGCAAAGCGTCGTCCCCTCAAGAGGAAGCAAAGGGAACGATCCACTTTGGAGGTTGACCCGGGGAAACTGGCGAATTGGGCACACACTTCTCAAGGCAGTTTGTAGCAGTTGGGAGTTGGCAGGTCCTGGTCAAAGGATCTTGGTGAGTGCTCAGACATGTCAACTCCATTTGGAGCAGTTGTGAGTCCACATCAGTGCAGTGATGATTGATGAAGGATCCGAAGCAATTTGTACCCCAGATTCATGGGGCCGCTCCTTCAAGAAGGCGAATCAAACGCCCTCTGAATTGACACTCCCCTGCTAATGAACAAGCGGTTGAATCTTGAGTTTTCATGCGAAGCACTGTGCAAACCTCAGTATCAAAACGTGAGCTTCTTCTGGCTCAAACAGACCAGGCTATGGTTTCCCTACGCTTTCCACTGCCCTCCAACAACAACTGGGCTGCCCGTTTTCGGATCCCCTGCTAAAAGTTCAACTTTTAGTGGGTCAAATGAAAACTACCACTGAACCCTAAAAGCCTAAAAGGCTAAGGAACCGGACGGCTGGGGGCCACCAAAAAAGCACTCCAACAAAGGCACTCTCAAAAAAAAGGAGCAACCCAAAAAAAGAAAAACAACAAGAAAAAAACAACGGAAAACAAAAAGAAAAGAAAGAAAGAAAAAAGGAGAAAAAAAAGAAAAAGAACACCCCCAGACGACAGCCCGCATTCACCGCGCGTCCTGGGCCAAGACGGCCACCGGTTGCTCTGCCTACGCGAAGGCCAATTAAAATTGCTTTCCGGAGCAGGCAGACACTGGAATCATATCGTTTTTGTTTTTTCTTCTTTACTGTGTATAATATGTTTGCAAAAACTAATTCTCAAATTCAACCAACACAAACTCGTCTTTGGTTCGCCTCACAGGCTTTGGGACTGCTGCACCCCTCAGGTTCCCAGTGTTGGGACTGCTGCACTTCAGTTTTTTCCTCTGCTTCTTCTCAAGCGCGAGAGATACAAAACAAGCCCTTGGAATAAGCATCAATCCAGAGCTTCCTGGCGATTTTGCGAGCTGGACTGCGTGATGGGTTCGTTGACATTTTTGAAACCACACCTTGTGATACCAACGTGCGCCAGTCCTATGACTAACTACTCATAAGGGGACTCCCTTGGCAGAAAGTCAGACTCAGAATTGTCCACACCCGTCGTGAAAATCTGAGAACCTTCTAATTACCGCATGTTGGCATATGGTGATAGCACTGCGGAAGGTAGCCCTGCGCATCTGGACCGGGTGTTTGACTCGAGAAGTTGATATCCTACATGTTTGGTGACATGGTAATATGGGTGTGTCTGTGTTTTAGCCGACCCCCAAGATCGTGCTATGCCTTGTTGTCCTTTTGGTTTTACCTTGAAACCACCTAACATGGGGTAGATGCCGGAGAAAAAAAAAACATCATCATAATAAAACACAAAAGCAAACCCATATTGGCATGCGCTGGATGTCCAAAACATGTTAAACCTGGTCGAAAGGAGACATCTGTGTGACCTCCTACGGTCCGAGGCTCAGCGGAAGCATGTCTTCGTTTTTGGAAGCTGATTGGTCCCCGTTTTGGTTCTGGCGACTCTTGGTGCCGCTGGAAACAAGGGACAATCTGTGCGAAACTACTAGAACCCACCAACCTCCAAATACCCTCTTTCTTTTGGGTATGATGTCGACCCTCTACTAAAAAGAGGTATTTACCATGGGGTTTGGGGGGTATATATAACAAACATGTTGACACAGTTGGTCCCTTGTCAAGGACCTTCAGCACGGGTGTTACCTTGGTTGCTGTTGACCCCCCTGCAAAAAGTTCAACTTTTTGGGGAGTTAGTGGGAAACACCGTTGCCCAAAAGCAAGTTACCATCTGTGCTTCGGACGTGGCCCGTGCTTCGACGCGGCTTCCCCCCCCCCCGTGCTTCGGCACCTCGCTCCGCAGCAGCACGCGACTGGGGCGGCTCTGGCCCAAGCCCTGGCGAAAGTGGCCGGAGCGCGCTGACTGAGTTGACTGGCAAGAACTTTTCTAGTGCAACCTTCCACCTTCCTGGCAAGAACTTCCTAGTTGACCTGCAAGGGTTCCCCTTTTTCTTCCACCAAACAAGGGATTTGGGCAACTCTCTAGGGTAGCTTTTTCATTCTTTCCAGGGATCCTTCGTTCTAGAAAACCTCCGGAAATTCAGGGAAACGGCCGGTTCTTCAAAAGACCGATGGCTGGAAAGAATCGGGAATCAACCCTGAGAACTTTGGACTGTTTAGCA